AAATAAAACATAAATGTCAACTAAATGAAACCACAAATTAAAACTAATTCAAGCTGAATATATTTATTATTTGTATGAATGTAAATACGTTAAATGTAGCTAAAAATAAAACAAGAACTCACATTTAGAGAAAATATTAAAACGCAGTTCTAATATTAACAAACAACCAGAATGAAGCGTGGAGAAGTGAACATGAACTCCAGACTGTTCAGAACCAAAGTGAAAGCGTTGAATCAGAAAACGGTCCAAACATCAGACAACAGCCTCGACGTTTGTGTCTGAAGCTAAAAGACGACGTTTGTTGTGTTTGTTGCTTCGTGCGGTGAAACATTAACTCGACTCTGAGTTCAACCTTCGACTCTCTGAGAACGAGATAAAGTCCGACGGAGAAGTTGGAACAAAACCAGAGTCCAGGTCCAGAGAAGGACGCCGGCGACAGAAAAACACTGAAAACATGCACGACATTAGTTTGTAAAATGTTCTAAACTTATTCTGAAAATACAACAAATTTATCAGCAAAATGCTCCAACTTTATTTTGAAAATCTTCATGACTTTATTCTTCAAATATTACAACTTTGTTCTGAAAGTATTTGGGGGGAAGATGACGCCATTATTCTGAAAATATCATACTTTTGCGAAATCTTAGCTTTATTTTGAAATATTACAACTTTAGTCTGAAAATATTCACGACTTCGTTCTTGAAGCAAAACAGCTTTATTCTGAAAATACTTTCACGTTGTTCTTTTATTACAAATTTATTCTGAAAAATATTTATTGTTTTTTTTTTTTAAATTTACCAACTTTATTTTGAAAATATGATGAATTTATGGTATGCTCAGCTGTATTTTGAAATACGACACCGTTATTGTAAAATTATTTACGATCTTGAAGTAAAACAACTTTATTGTGAAAGTACTCCCGACTTTATGTGTGAAACATTACAACTTTATTTTGAAATTAAGTGAGTTTCAGTCTGAAAATATTGCGACTTTATTTATGAAAAACTGCAGCTGTACTATTTGTAATACTTTATTTTTTTTACTAATTATATTCTGTAAATAATGCAACTTAACTTTGAAAATCTTCAGAAAAACTCTTGTAATAATGAAGCTTTTATAGCTGAAACATTAAAACTTTATTCTGAAAATATTTCTGCCTTAACGTGTGTATGATTGCAGCTTTTATCCATAAAAAAGTCGGACTTTATTCGTGAAATATTATTTTCATTCATGCCTTTATCCTGAAAGTGTCTTATTCTGAAAGGGTGTTTGTTTCTTCTTCGGTGGTGCAGAACATGGGGAAGGCGGTGCGCTTCACCTGGCGCTGCTTGGTGGGATCAGTGCTGGCGATCGGGGCCATGTACTCGGCTACTCCGCTGTCCACCGTGTTTCTGGAGGCCAACCAAACCCGCCACAGCCGAAGATGACTCGTGTTTACGTCGACTTTGTTTGTTTGTTTACTGTTGTTTACTAAACTGTGCTTCCCGCTGAAACTTTAAAACTGTTGACATTGACCTGTTCTGGATCTTCCTTTTTTTACTGATTTTATCAAATAAATTCCACAACCAACTGAAAACTGCTCCCGTTTTTCATTCCCCAACTCCTAATATGGTAAGAGAGGAGGAGTCAAACGGTCCTTATAAGGCGAAGGAGGCGGAGTCAGCACAGTCCTTATAAGGTGAAGAAGGCGTCAGTACAAAAATTGTAACGTGAACAAGGCAGAGCTAGA